CTGAACCCAACTGAATTTGCTGCCTGGGGATTCATGGTGAGCTCCTCTCCCTTCCTCCCTTCCCACGGGAAGGTCAGATCCAGCCCCATCCCGAACATCAAGCAAGAGATGAATGATTTGTTTAACAGAAGCGTGAGCAAGGCAGCATGGGGGAAGGTCCCATCCCAACCCTGGGTCCATCTCCGGGCTCAGCCAGACAGGAGGGACAGCCAGGGACGTGTCCTGACCGCCCAGCCCTCTGAAGAGGAACATCAGCCCTTGGCACAGACTCCAAGAGGTCCACGAGGTCCAAACCCCATCTCAGAAGCATAAGTGACCTTTCCAGCAGGCTCTGGCTCCACAAAGTGCAAAACCCATCCCAGCTGCAAACACCCCAGTTTTGGGATAAAGACGTAAAGATGTTTTCCAGTAGTGACTGGAAATGGCACGTTTTCCTCTGCAGACCCAACAGCTGGCAGGCCTTTAAATCGCCCTTCTAATCAGATGTAAATCCTAAGCAGCCCCCCAAGGATTAGAGGCAGACGTTTGGAAATCCCACACGCTCCCGGGGTGTGCAGCGGGGCCATGCCCTCCCACCCATGAGAGCCATGGGTGCCCACAGTGGCACCCAACACCAGCGGCTTCGCTGCCGCCCCTGGAGGCCATCACTGGCTGGCTCCGAGGCAGGAGCCACAGCGGGGACCCCATTCTGCACCCCTTGATCCTTTTGCATTGCCTGGGGCTGAAGCTGCTGGACCCACCTCGACCCTAAAAACCTGGAGGAACTCTGGCAGCTCTGGGCACTTCCCTGGATGCTGCAGAAGACCAAATCCTTGGGGCCAAATTCAAAACTTGGAGGTGAATTTTGGTGTGAGATTTGGTCACAGAAAGGGAAGAGGAAGGGCTTGCTCTAGGGTCAAGCGTGGTCCCCAGCTAAAGCATCCCAAAAATGAGGCACCCTGGTGAGCCGGATGGGTCCCCATGGGCGCAGGGGACTGGCAGAGCAGGGGATGAGCAGGGCGCCCAGGGGAGTGGAGCTAGCAGACGGCCAGCTCCCACCGACCCAGCCTCTCCTCCCCGCGCGGCGTCACCGGAGAGGCTGGGGGACATTTTCTGCATTGCTGAAGAGTGACAAGTCTCATCGCTGACCTCCTCAGCTGGCAGGAGCCAGGCTGGAGCAGGCGTGGGAGCCGGGGCGTGGAAAGAGCAGAGACCCCTGCAAAGCGGGGAGCCCCGTGGGCTGCGGGGATGCCCCGTTAACCCATTTCCCAGCCAGGAATGAGCTCCCCAGAAATACTCCCCAGAATTACCCTGCCTCCTGCCATCTTACAGCCATCTCCAGGAGGGAGCAGCCCCCACAGCTCGCGCCTGCTCCCCCACCGGGCCCTGCTCTGGCCGGCAGAGACACTCGGCCGAGAGGACAGACAGACCCGGCACCCGCAAGGGCGCAGACGGACGACAGCAAACTCCATTTCCCGCATGCACGAGGGAGCCCTGGGCGGTCGTGAGCCCCCTGCTCGGGATCAGATTAAAGTTCAGGGCAATGGCTGAGATGTTTTTGCGTTTTCCAAACACATTATTTATAATGCAGAAAAGCGCTCTGCAGCCGTCCATCACGGGGCCTGACAGCTGCCTGGCAGGGCAGGGCAGCCCAGCTGTGCGCGAGGGCAGCCGAGCTGCCTGGCCGCGGGCACGGGGCCCCCAGCCCGCCCCGGCGGAGGGGCACGGGGCTGGGGAGGCACCGCGGGCATCGGCCCCAGCCCCGCACGGGTGGATGGCACAGCCTGACTTCGGGGCCCAAATGCCATGGATTTCGGCTCTGCTGCTGGCACAGCAAACCACTCCACTGCCCCGCGCCTCAGTTTCCCCAGCTGTACAGCAGAAATGGGTGTGCTGGTCACTGAGCTTGCTGCAAGGGGAGGAAGAGGAGGAGCCTGGGCTGACATCCACAGGAGGCTGAAAGCATGGCATGAAAGACAACCAGTCGCATCCTGCCACCGAGCCAGGCTGTCCCTCTCCTCCAGGAAGGGCAAAGGCAGCGGTGCTGCCCGTTGGCAGCGGGGACAGG